TCAGAATAATATAAAAATAAATGTAGGTTTATAGTAAATACAGTTGTTAAAATTTTTTTCCATGAGGTCAAAGGTATGTTAATAAGTGTATTTGTTAACAGGGAGTCATTATCAAGCAATCACCAATTATGTAGAGGACAGAAAGTGGTAAATAATGAACATGTCAAGACAATGATACAGAATAATCTGGACTGATGTGTTTCTTCTCCATTCTTGCAGTTTCTTTGCCTTCCCCTTCTAAACCTGTTTCATTGGAATTATAAAATTAGTCCTGTGGCTTTTAGCTTCATTTTCAAATTCAAAGAAAGGGACTGTTTTCTTATTTTGCCCAGAGCAGTGTGGAAAGTAAGATAAGCTGCAATGTCTGGTGTGGCTATGGCTATTTCCATCTTCCCAGAGGAAGATTCAAGCCTTAAAATATTCCCATTAGCTACTAGCTGCTGGGATTTAAAATATCCAGGTCTCTGGATCAGTTTTGATTTTTTGTATGAATGTTATTTATTTTATTCATTCATTCAGCCTCTGGATCAGATTGAAAAATACTTCTTGGGACAAGGAATTCCATTTCCCAAAATTGAGATAAGTGAGGAAGACAGGGAAAACTTGAAGGAATGCTACGTATTTGAAGATGCTGACAGTCCACAAGCTCCAACAGTGCTTTTTTTCCCTCTAGTAAATGACACCTTCAAGAAATATAAAGCTCCTGGTGAGTTATCTGTGGTAGCAATTTTAATAAAAACTTTTTTTCCTAGGGAGTCCTCTCCATTTCATGTCTTTTACCATTCTTTTACTATTCCAATGTCAGCATTATCAGTCTCATCAGTGAGAAAAACCAAACCCAAACCTGGTCTGTGTCAGTATGTCTGAACTATCTGAGCTCCAGAAGCTTTTTTTAATACATTTGAGATGAGTATAGGCAATTATTTCATAGGAACTACTAGAGAGAGTATGAAGGAAAAACCCCAAAATATGTATACCAAGGGGGGTAGGTCCTCAGCACAAGCTATTTTACTCTACAGGCATGGGCTTGTTATGCACTGCTGCTTGCAAACAAAGATGAGGCAAAACCTTGTGGTGGTTTTGGTGGTAAGCCCTTTCATTTGGGTTTTGTTCATGTATTTAAATGTAATCCCCCAGACTGAGGGCTGAGTCGACAGAGATCTTGAGTTTTAATTTGAATTATGTCCTCTCTCTGAGTGCAATAATATCTTCTGAACTTTCAGTAAGAGGGTTGTTATTTTATCCAGTACTGGAGTATCTCGTCTGCCTTTTGCTTGTGCATTACTGGTTTGGGTAACAAAGACTATGATGTCCATGCAGTGGTCTAGCATTGCTGCTGCTAATGTTGTTCTGATTGCCAGCTGTTTGGGTGATGTAAATGTTGAATGATGTAAAATCATATTTGGCTTACTCCAAATGCTAAAGAATACAGTGCTACTATGTTACTTTTACATCCCTCTGGCAAATTGTATCTTTCCTTCCATATCTCCCTTGTCTACCTATAATTATGTAAATGACTGATAGGAGCCACAGACTACAATAAAACCTTATTGGTGCATCTCCTTGTGGTTTGCCCCTCAGGTATGGAAAGGAGTCCTGAAGAGATGGCTGAAGGCAAAGTTGATGTCTCCAGCATCCTCTCCCCATTTACAACAAGGGAGGTGTGTTTCAGTGAAGAGAATTTTGACAAACTGGTGAAACTGACTGATTACAATGTCTTGAATAACGAGAAGTTGATTATTGAGGCCTTGCGCATGGCAGTGGCACGGAGGAAGCAGCGGAATTATTAGCCATGACACACTGGCTTTAACTTCCCTTATGATGTTTCTTGGGTTGTCTATGGTTTGGTAAGATGAAGACATTTGATGCTAGCCAGTTATACTTGCAGTAGAAATCACATCATCCTAAGGACTTGCTGGACTCCACCCTATTTACACAGTTCAGGGAAATATATTGGAATTTACCAGTGGTTTAATCCAAAACAAACTTCAAAGCAGCAAATTTGTTTTTAGTTTTGTTACCTTGTTACTTTAACGGTTGTTATATATAGTCCATATAAATTATTATAATTTTGTGTAAGATAATGAAATATGTGGAACATTAAAATGTGTATCAAAACAGTATTGCATGGTGGGTTTTTCATTTGGCAATCCCTCGGACTGGAATTTTTTTGGTAAAAAACTAATCCATTGTACTGGTCCTGCTTATCTTAAGTATTGAAGGTTATCATCTCTGATTTGATTGTCTGTCCACTAGGAGGTTTTTATTAACTTTCTTCACTAATCCTTGAAAATAAATTTCTGAAGTTATTATCACTATTGTAAAATCTGTAAAGTTTTCACCATCAATGAAAAATACCCTTGAATTAAGTAATTTTTATTTCAGGAGATAAACAACTGAGCTGCTATTCACAGATCCACTTATATTCAACCTAAGCAGTAGACATATTGCCCAATTTTCCTTCAGTTTTCTACTGGACTTTTTGCTGACTGTCGTATCTCACTCTTCTTTACCTGCCTTGACTGTTCCTGGAGGATGACCTTGCAATTTCTCTCAGTGTTTCACGAGATGCTAAGTGGCTGCCAGCTGTTTGCACAGAATAAGGCAATGCAAGAGAGCCTTTGGAGATCCCTTCCAGACATATTTTTTACACCTGTTCAACACTTATGGGCAAATGGTCTTTGCAGGGATTGTCCTGAAAGACTGGTTTTTCATCATCAAAAATCCTAGAGTTTTTCTGGGGGACTCTCACAGTTCTGCAACAGGCAGATCGTGAGCTTAGTCTTTCACAACAGCAGCCCTGCACTGTGGAGCTGTGACTCATGAAGAGATTATTCACAGCAGCTCAGAAAATGTTTTGTATTATCTTTCTTTTGGTAATAAAAGGCTCCCACTGTTGCAACGAACTTCAGACAGAGTCACCAGAGCAGAATTAGTGTTGAGATCAGAAGAGTCTTGACTATGCTCAGAAGTGACAAATTTGTTTCTATGGAATGAAATTCTAGGTAATGGATGGGGGAAAAGGATTCCTTGCTATGAAAAAAACTCAGCTGATCGTGCATCTTAGAGAAAATTGGGTGGTAGAAGAGAGTGAGTGGGCAATGTTTTTTACTTATGAGCATGTTCATTGTGTTTGTGCTCCTGAAAAAACTCGAAGGGGCATGGTGTGACCCTGTTTTTAGGTACAGTATTGTATGTTTGAATCTAGATTATTATCCCTCCACGTGTGAGGCAGCTGTAATTGTGGTTCTGCTTCAATACACTAGATTATCAACTCATGTGATCCTTCTGAGTCCTTTCTAGAGATATCTTTGAGTTTAGTATCGTGGTTTCCAAGACCTTTTTGCTGGAAATGAAACAGAGCAAAATGGAAGATGTTTCAGTCTGTTTCACAGGGGAAACTTATTGAACAACAGGATGGAAAAAGCCAGGCAGGTGTAGGATGCAGCCTGAGCCTGATGAACATGACTTTTCATTGTGTCCTGCTGGGTGATATGAAACCCGCCTTTTCTTCTCTGAGAGAGTTCCTCCTGCTCTCCAGATCAATCTGCAGCTTTTCAGTTTCCCAGTGTTTCAATACCTTCTTCTTGAAACAGAGTGCTAATAGTGACTTTTATATATATATATATATATATATATATATATATATATATATATATATATATAATTTTAAGATCATTCATAAAAGCATGTAGGCTTATAACTAAGCTTTTGCCAAACCTCTAGGAATGTTTTCCTCCCTTTGATTACTGCTTTTTGTAATCTATTAGTTATCCATCCTTAATATGTTCAAAGTTTATCTGGGTGACATTTGTTAGATCTAGTTGTTAAGTTAGAATGTCATAAAGTGTCAAAAGTTTTAGGAAATTAAAATTATCTCATGTCTGTGAAATTGCCTTTATCAATAAGTTCTCAATTCATTGCAAAGTAAAATGAAATTATTTTGAAATCAATTCCTCTGTTAATTTTCATAATAGCAAGGGTTATTTAAAAAAGACAAAAACAAACCCCAAACTCCCACTTTACTTCTTGTGTACTCACTTCATGTACTCCCTCACTGAGGCAGGAACACCTCACATGATGTGTAGTGTCCTGCACAGTGAAGCCTTATAAATGTGAAGACATGAAGAATAATTAACATTAATTTCAGCATTAATTTCACTCTCACAAATGTATCCTCTCAGAGATCTTGGAGATCACTGAAACACCTTAATTCGGATGCAAAAAAAATTACAAAAATTTTGAGAAAGAGAATGAGCTTTTAAAGCTTTTTCTTTATAAGGAAATTCTATTATAGTTTCAACAGGTGACTTTGGGAATTGTTTCAAGCCGTATATGTCACTGCAATATCTGCTTGGTTGAAAGACAGTTTACTGCTTGAGTTTAGAAGAACAGAAGGTGAGATGGGGACAATAAAAATTCTTTCAGATACGTCTTTAAGCAAAGACCCACCTACTCCCTGTAGGTCATTAAAGTTACAGAAAGTCTTTTGTTTGACCATTGGTTTGTTTGGTTGTTCTGGGCTAAAGAATTCCTTGTTGCCCACTCCTGGGCAGCCAGATAGAACCTGACTGATTCCAGTCACCTTCCCATACGAGGCTGCATCTTGACAAACTCTCCTGGTGTGTCAAAAAGTGATGAGGATGCTCAAGAGTAACATTTGCTCAGTGCCTGCAACTGTGAAGGGAAGACACCTTTTCAGTCTCAATTTCCCTGTAACTACAGCTGCAAAGACCATCCTTCTGTAGTGCCAGAGCCTGGGTGTCTGCGCTTTGGTGCAGGTATGCAGCGTGCACTCACCTTCCGGGCAGCGAGGAGGAGGAGGAGGAGGGAGAGGAGGAGTCGGGAATTGCTCAAGTGGTGGTGGCGGGGTGAGGCTGCGCTGAGTCAAGCATTAACACACCTGCCTGTCTGCTCCCGGCAACCTAAAGCACAAGAAGTTCCTCTGTACCCGTCAGCCTACACCTTTCACACCTGGCTCAGACGCGGCAAAGACCGCAATGGGACTGTTCTTCAGCAAAAGCGAGGTAAGAAAAGTCAAGAGGAGGCTTTGCAATTAATTGAGCTGGCTGTCACTTGGTAGCAGAGGGGACCTGCTGTGGGAAGTGGTGTTTCCACTTGTTGCATCTTCAGCTCTAAAAATTCTTCTTCAGCACCAAAGCTGAGAGCAAAGCAGGGCTTCTCTCTGGGTTTTGTGACTACTTTGTGTTTTGGCCTTCAGGAATGCAAAGGTTTTAATGATGCAGTAATTTAACTATTTTGAAAATCCCCAATTAAAAAAAAAAAAGAGAGACCTTTTTGCTTCCACTCAATGAGGCTAGGCAAAACAATTCACTGAGGAAAAATAAGGTCATTAATGTCAGCGAGTGCATAGGAAAAGTCAGGAAACTAATATTATATGAGGTGTTAGATATAGTTCTCTTAAATTTGTGACAGTTTGGGGGCATAAGGGAGTGAATGGTAAGACATTGACCATTTTTATATATTTACCTATGTATTTGTTGCAGTGATAATCCCTGCTCTATAGATAGTGTGCATGAACTGTCTCTTATATGTGTTTGTTGCTTCATTACTTAGTTTTTCTCTTTCCTTTTTGCTCCTCTTGTTTTTTGGTGTAGTTTTGTTGCAGTTTTTGTGGGGTTTGTTTGTTGTTTGGATTTTGTGTGTGGTTTTTTTGTTGTTGTTGTTTTGGGGTTTTTTTGTCATTTAGATCATTAAATGTGTGGGTTTTCCCTCCTGTTATTCCTTTAAGAAGGACACTTATCTAGGGAAAAGAAATACCTCACATTCAGCCCCTATATACTCATTAAGTACCCTATTTGTCTGATCCTTGCTTAGGATGAGAGAAGATGAAAAAAACAAACCAGTTACCTTGCAAGTTTGTTAAATGTCTTTTGATAACCGCTTAGGTTGAGGTGGTTTCCCAAAATTAGAATCATATAATGGCTTGGGTTGGAAGGAACCTTAAAAATCATCTAGGTACACTCCTTCGTCATGGGCAGGGATTCCACCCACAAGTCCAGGTTGCTCAGGGCCCCTTCCAGTCTGGCCTTGAACACTTCCAGGGACAGGGCATCCACAACTTCCCTGGGCAACCTGTCCCAGTGCCTCGCCACCCTCTGAGTAAAGGATTTCTTCCTAATATCTAATCCAGATCTCTTCTTTTTTAGTTTAAGTCTGTTTCCCTTTATCCTATTACTATCTGTGTAAAAATGCTCTCTCCTTTTTTTATAACCACCTTTAAGTACAGGAAGGTTGCAAATATTTCCTTTGATACTTTCCTTAGAGTTTTGCTTAGAGGAAGATTGGGTGAACTGAATTATTCAGAGAGAAATAACTACAGAGTTGGGGCTTTCATTCACTCCTTCTGAGAAGTTTGGGATAGGTCTCTAAAAGGCACTTTTCAGGTTCTCATTGTTTAAAAACCAGCACTGCTCTAGATCAAGAATGGAATTATGTAGCTATAAATCAACTCATGAGTAGCATTATTACACCATGGTATCGTTACTAATTCCTGCCCTGCTAGATTGTTTGCTGTTCATTGTGTAATATAGTGGATATATGTGACATCCTATGAATTTTCACAGATGAAGATGTGTGTCAGCTGTATTATTAAAACAGCAAGGTTCTCTATCATACATTTCTCCGAGATTGATTGTAGGAGTCAGACACCTCAAGTTGAGGATTACCACAAGTTTCCTCAGATTGGAGAGTGGAAGTTTGGTCTGTGATTGTACATTTTGTGTCTGTGGCCACACCTGGTTACAAACCTTCTGGGAAGAAGAAGACAATACTCAAGGAGGGACCTCCATTTAGAAATGTTTTGTTGATTGGAACTGAAACACTTAATGTTATCTCTGACTATGCTTCTGTTCTTCCTTTCTGCCTGCTCATCCTATGCATTTTGTATGCTTTTTAACAGGCAGAACCCTCGCCATGCAACTTGCTTACTGTAAAAGTCATACAGATGAAAAACGCCAGGAAAGCAGACTTGTGTGAGTATCTTTGTGGAGCATCCTTGTGCTTGTAAAGCTACTCTGAATAGAGCCAAGTGTCACAAACACTACAGACTGTTTATAAAAGGAGAGAGACATCAGATGTTTGATCATGGTATGCTGAAGACGAGCTAGCACAGTTAGAAGATATTATTTATTCTTACATACTTGCCAATACAACACTAAAGTCTAGCCACCAATTGTAATGCAGAACATGTTTACATAGAATGGATAAAATATTCCACATCTGAATCTGCAAATAAATCTTCTTTTGTTCACAGGAAAGACTGTAATAAGAACTTCATTTCTCTGGTTCCTCCTTGCAGTAATGTCCAGCCTGCGTAACCCTGGGTCTATCACAGGATATTTTATGTGGGCTCAGGACTCCACACCTGACATCTTACGGGCTGTCAAATTTGATTCAGCCATAGGCCATGTTTCAAAACTTGATTGAGGGCTCACAGTTAGCTTTTTCTATTCTTAATTATTTTTACAAAATGTCCAGGAATTATAGTTACATAAATGTTTATTAATGGTCCATAAATATCTGAATTGCAAAGCACTAGAAAAAGAGGTGTGAATGACAATCACCTCCTGTCTGAGTAGATAACTGATTTTGTCTTGCATCTATTCATTTATGCAAATAAAAAGGTCTGAATCCAGAAAGTTTCTATAGGAACGAGACCGAGGTAAAATTGTTCAGTTAAAAAGATGCAAGACAAGATATTTTTTGTGCCTTTCTAATGTGACTTGCTTCAAGTTCTGTGAAAGTTTCTTTAGAGACCAAAGGTATGTGAAGAAGACTTTCTCACTCCAATATTTATTGAAGAGCAGCAAGATACTTTGTTGATGCTGAATGTATGGGGAAGAAGAATCTGTATGAACCTTCCCATAGGATTACTTTTACACCATGGAAAGGAGATTTGAAGCTCAGTTATAGTCTGGAGAGAAATCCCTTGCTACAGCTAAAACCTATTTGAATGTACAAATATGGACACTGAACTGAAAGGAAGATGTGTGGAAAACTATAGCCCTTAAGTATCTCCCCAGATAATCATGTTCTATAAAACTGTCTGCATGATAATGAGCTTACCCAACTTCCTCACCACCTTTTCTCATCTAGATTAATGCTTCTTGAAACTACTTTTATTCTGAATGGAGTTTACTATGTTTTGATGCTGTCCTTTACAATACTTGAAAGTTTCTAGGACATGGGACAGGTACTGAAACGGTCAGGCACTTCTGCTTCCAAGTCATGTCCCACCAGCCCACAGAGCTTTTTAAAAGAGCAGTTAGAATGACAGATGTGATTTTGTAGTGCAGCACAGGGTCTGAAGCAGCAGTAAAGCCACAGCATGGGCTTTCCAGGCTGAGGCCTGACACTATGAAGCATATACTGTATGTTGCCCAAAAACCAAAACAACAGACATTCGCCACCAACATTGTCAAGCTATCCTTTGTTTAAAATGGAAGCATCAATCAAAATATTAAGGGGAAAAAATACTTGCAAAAGATGATGCTCTGCTTGTTGTGGACATTTATCATGTAGGAAAAGAAAACCATACCAGTCAGGGTACATTGCTTTGCTTATGTTTAAATGTTGAATCTAGTTTTGACTGACAGCTGCTTAACTCCACTAACATTTGATTTTACTAAGTATAAAATTTTTCAGCAGTATTTACCAGAAAGATTTCCTTTTAAGCCATTTGAGGACATGTTTTTCTGAGCAGCCAGTCTTGTAGAAGTCATATATTTCATTGATAGTCTCCTTATCATGTAAAATAAACCTATATTTCAAAAGTTTTAATGGAACTAATTTAATCTCTGCCTACTTTTGCTGACAGTGTAAAAACTAGTGCAAGTTATATATTCATAACTATAGGATTTTCACTGAGAAGCAGCAAAATGGGAGTCTTGAGATAAAAAAATATGTACAAAATTTTCCTGGTTTATTTGTAAAATTAGGGGAATATTGTTGAGTTGATTCATTCATCTTTACAGTTCTCTAGAGATGAGCTTGACATAACTTTACAAAACTCAGAAGCATGTGGCCCTCCTTCACAAGCAAAGTGGGCTTTTTTACAGTACCATTTTCCTAACACTGATTTTTTTTCTCATTCTTTCTTTTCTCAGCTCTTTTTTCTGTTACTTTCCTTTTCCTGCAAAATTTTATAGATAGAACAAGTTGTTTTCTAGATAGAACAACTGTCGATTATTTTTCAGTCACGTTATTGATTTTTGTTAAACTGGCTTCTTCTATCTCTTGCAGTTGTGCCCAACCTTGCACTAGATTTCTATAGCGTTTTTGGATCAATTTGTTTAATACTTGCACTAGTGTTAAATAGTCTCCCAACCTGGCATTGCAGTTTGACTTCATTATTTGTCTATCTTCTCCATTTTCCTAATAATGGAGATGAGAAAATTAATTCATAACAAGAGAACCTCAAAACCTCACTAACATCTCCTATGGAATAGATAATAGAAGACTTTTAGTGGAAGTTCAGTGCGTAAGAGAATATTTTTATCCGAGACAACTTAAATTGTTTCATTCCGCTTTTTAAACCCTGACTCTCTTTAATGCACCTTTGCACTATTTTGTCTCTTTTTCCCACTCATCCCTCAGCGTGTAATTTATAATAATAGTTTCCACTTGTGTATTGATGCATAGCTGATATCATTGATAACACCTGTTAATTTAGTGCCTTGTTTGCGTTCTCCACATTCCTGTCTCCCACTGGGCACACCCACATCCCCATCAGGCTCTTGATATCCCTGGACCTGTGAACACTTGCCAGTTCCCAGATTTGGGTGTGTTCCATAAGCATCCTAACTCCCTAATGGGGTGAGACTTGGATGTGCGCCAATCCAACCCACCCTTAAAAACACAGCTTTCTCTGCAGAGAATTTCAGATTCCAAGCTCAGCCTCTCACAGACCTTGGACAACCACCACAGCTCCAGAACAAATAGAAGGACATGACTTTTTGTTTGGGAACTCCCCGTGGTATGAGGTGACAAATGCTGGAAGTTTATGCAGGTCTCAGATGGAAACTGGACAAATTCATAGAAAGAAAAAATCCAGTGAAGGTTGGCTCGTGAAGTCTCTGAATCTTAAATTCTGAGGGCTGAGTGAGCATTATATGATGTTTGCCCTCTTACACTCTTCCTCAGACACCCATCACTAAATGTGGGATACATTTATTTCTGTCACTGGTGGCCATCCTTAACAAGACCAAAGGTCCTTCCCTTAAAAAAAAAAAGAAGTCAAAGTGACTAAAGAACAAGATACTGCAGACAAGCTAAATCACAAAGTGGAATTAACAAATGTAAAAGAAAAGGAAACACAGTATTAAGAGTATAGACAAGGTAAAAGTAGGTAAGTGGGTGGGGATACTGAGCTGAGCAATTTTAAGATATCATTCTCTGCTTCCTGAAAACATCTAAGATCCCTCAGTGGGCACTGCCTGTGGGCCCTAGACTAAAGGAACCTCGACTGGTGTAGTTAAAAATATTCTTCATCATTTTCTTAGTAAAAAAATGATATATTTGAAGCTTTTATGGATTTTCTTTTTACTATGCTTTTTAATTTTGGAGACATCAAGTTTTAGATTTTCTAATATAAGACATTAGTTTGATACTATATTTTATAAAATTATTAAGTATATTTTACATTTTTATAAAAATACTTTTTTACAGGATTGTAGTAGCAGTTCTGCCACAGATCAGTTCATGTAAAGGCCCTTGAGATCCTGAAAAGAAATATAATCAGTGGAATACATTATTGTTTGAAGGACTGTGGTCCAATGTGATACTTATTGCAGGAATCTGCAGACTTCTTGTGTTCTGTTCTTGTGCTGTTCTTATTGTTTCATTGTTATTTATTACTTACTTCACCAGGTAAGCACTTACAGTTACACACCAACAGCCTATTGTTCTAGGTGCTGCATGAAATACTTTTATAAAATCAGAGGATGTGGACTTATAAAGCCCAACAAGGGGAAAAATGGGAAAGAAACAGGTTGTTTAGCAACATCTCAGCAAAAGGGTCTTTTAAGGAGGGATGTAAATGAGACTACTGATACTGCTTTAGGGATATTTGTAAGGTGCTCCACCCAGTGTGAAGGGCAGGGTGGGAGAAAGCGTAGAAGCTTTTTGTTGAAATTTAGCTATTAGAAGATTAATATTGAGTGTTCCCTGGAGACAGGAACTGATCTCCCAGGACAGAATGAATTCTGATAGCCTGACTATAAAGGGCCTTGAGAAGGAAGATGTTTATTGTCACGGAAGTAACTCACATTTTTATTTAAAAAAAAGAATATAAAAAAGTTTTAATTATGTAAATTATCTAATATTATGTGCTCTAGAAAACAGCAATGCTGGCCTGTCCACTTGCCTTCAGCCAGATATCTACTCACCTACACAGTGTATGAGGAAGAAGAAAAATGCTTCTCTCAGCTGGTGATGTATTTTGTGACTTGGATAGATCCAAATGCAGGGAGACCTGATCAAGATGCTGGTCAGAGCAAACAGTGTTTGAGACCACATTTTGGTTCAGATTCTTTCACCACAATAAGAAAATAAACTATATCATGACAGTAATGAAAAATCTACCCCCTAGAAATAGTGAGCAGCTAAAGGCAGTCCAAGAGGAGAGGATGCTTGAGGCTTCTGCCCCAGCTGCAGGTGGGCTGGATGTTGAATCTGTTATCATCAAAAAAGGAGGTGGAATTAATTTTTTTTTTTTTTAACCCTCCTTGAATTTGACCTCTCTGTGAGACTGGTGAGATTTTGGCTTGAGCCAGAATTGCTGGTGCCCTACTCTTTGGGATACAGCATGGTGCTGGGGCTATGGCATTTTTTAGCATGTGTCATGTTGCTGTAATGCTTTCTAATGGTAAAGCACAATTAAGATCCAGTCCTGCTATTATCCTGGAAGATAATTAGACACTTAGCGTAATAACTGGACGAAGAGACCGTGCTTTCATAAATACCTGCTGCCACACCTGCTTTTGGCAGGATATTGCCCCACAGTGATACCACAGCTGCTGCCCCAAGCATCTCTGATGGCTGGTCATGTGTCATGGCTGAGGGGAGGGACACAACAGGTCACTGTTGTGATGCTCTGCTGTCTGTATACTGTGTGAGCATAATTGCTGTAGTTAGGTGTGGTTAGGCTTACATGCCAGGGAGATGATGATTTTCTTGCATGTGGCTGGCAATGGGAGCCTTGTATGTGTACGTGGAAAGGCAATGGGATATTGTGGCGTGACCAACCAGCTTGGGCACAGGATATGCTGTGGTTTGCCATTTCTCACATCTGCTTCTACCTGGAGCTGGTCAAGCAGAGTATGGGTCTGAGGTATCAGGATGTGTAAAAAAAGGTTCCTGGACATTTTAAGTGCCTCCCTCATAACACCTGGAAAATAAATCATGAACACGAAGTAATTGGGTTTCAGAGGACACCTCTGAAGTATAAAACATGTCACCAAACAAAGACATTTGGCAAGTGGGAATAGGGAAGCATGCTTGTTTAGTGGCTGGGTCAGAAGTGCCCCAGAGAAAGTCAGAGATCTAACTGAGAAGTCAGATCTCTGCTCTCTGACATGTAATTATTTCTTGCAGGTGTATGACACAGTGTAATAGCAGACAGTGATCACTTACAGAAAAAAATAATTGATGGACTTTCAAAATAGTACTTTGTTCTTTGCACCAATCAGAGCATGTGTTGCTATTTGAGAAGTGTCAAGGAAATAAACTTTGGTTCACCTGCAGCCTTATCCATTTTGGTCCTTCTGGTCTTCTAATGGGGACAAGAGCCAACAACAATCTGTTCTAGTATCAGTCTGGATCTCCTAAGAGCCAAAAAAGATTTTTATATGGACATTTCCTGTATACATAGAGAATTTTGGTAGCTATTAGAAGTGTTAGAAGCTCAGGTGATGTCTATGTGTTTTGATATTTTTGTAAAACTCATGTATCTTAGAATATACAACAACTACTTTCATCAGTCAAAGTTACTCTTTTTATGTTCAGAGTTAATAGTAATAATAAAAAAAGATGACTTAAGCCTCAGGGGACACAGGGTGGGGGTTGGAAAAAGGCTGGCTTTGTTAACCCTTGAGTTGCAGATGGGGAGACAGTAAAGGGCCAAGAGTTATTCTGTGTTTCCCAAAATCAGATCTACCAGTAAAACTCAGTGTGACAAGACTTATGCCTGTGCTGCTGCTATTCAGGTTTTTTTGCTATGCAGTGGCAGGAATGCTGAGTACATGGCATTACAAATAGAGGAAATACAACTCTAACAGTGGAATTGGCATTTATGGGCAATACTCCCCATGCTGTCTTTGGCACTTGTGTAGGTTGTCATCCCTAACCAACAGATTGCATTCTGTAGGGTGATCATCCCTTACTTCTGAGTATGGGTCTACAGGATTGTTAATCTCATTATTCACATTTGTCTTTTATTTCCTAATAATGATGACAAAATCTATTAGAAAGTAGATTAGTCTGAATTTGAATGAAAGTGTTGATGATATGAGCACTGCAGACTTCTCCTAACGACTGTTTCATACAAAAGCTTTGGCCCTGAACATCCATCACTTGTGACAGAGCTCAGGTGGGAAGCCAAAGCGTGCAACTGGCCTCTTCAGCTAAGAAAAGAAAAAAAAAAAAAAAAAAGAAGGCTAAAACTGTCCTCACTACATCTGGGAACATTAAAATTGATAGGTGAACTTTATGACCTGAACTCGCCTCCAGTGGAGGCAAAAGCAATGCAATTCCATGCAAAGAAGCCACGTCAGCTCTCTTTGTGCTGTGAAAGACAGACAAGCTTTCACCTGCACATTTAGTGTTGCAAATACCTTCACTGTTCTGACTGAGGCACAGAAATGCAGGTGAAAATAGTGACATTAAGCAATATATATTTTTTATATGGTTTTACTGGTGCAGCCCTGCCTCAGGACAGCTGTTTCTTAAAGCAAATGTTAGCCATCAAACTATTCAACATTTCAATGCTTTTCTTATCTGTGCTCATTCTAAACCACTTATAGAAGATTAAATTCAGTTCCTCTCATCCCCACAGCAGTTTTAATTTTTTCTTGAAATTTTTTTCTTGAATTTTTTTTTTCTTGAAAAACTGTGCTGTTGAGGTCTGTGGTGCACTGTGTGCCCCTTCTTTAAATTTCCAAAAGGGAAGAAAACAGACTGCGAACAGATACCTTGATGGAAGAAGTGTCTTCTGTGACAGCAATGGGGCTTCATGGGAACCTTCAATGCAATGAGCACCTGTCCCTGCTGCATTGGCAGCAAAAGGTCCTAGAAAAAAGGAAGGATGTTCCAGAAAGTAGACAAGACAGAGCATAAAGCTAGAGCTACTCTAGACATACTGAGGCATGTTCATGCCTACCTGTGGAAGCCCAGTGTATGGGAGCTGTGCTCTGTCCATCTGGTAGCCCCTGTCACAGCTGCTAAGGTCCACAGTGCCCAGCCCTGTGATACTGCTGTGTGTACAGGCCTTATGCATATGGATGGCTTTTCAGCAATGCAACTGTGTATTTTGAACAGTTGTTATTCTTTTTAGGAATTTAGAAAATGTAATTCTCAGGAAGAGCACACTGCCAGGCTTACTCAATAGTAAAGCAAGATGGTTGTCTACCAGTGGCCCGATAGTACTCCAGTTAGCTTGCTGGCCTGCATTCTGTGTATTGCTTTATGTGCTGAGCTTAAAAATTCACTCAGTGTACCATCGTGGGGGTACTAGATTCTTACGGCGTACTAGATTGTTTAATTGGTCGATTGTTTTCCTGCTTTCCCTTTCTTTAACAGTAACTCAGTCTGATTGCTATGTGAGCCTGAGCCTGCCGACAGCTTCAGCACAGCATTTCTGCACCAAGACAGTCCAGAACAGCAAGAACCCAACATGGAATGAAACATTCCACTTCACAATTCAGAGTCAGGTTAAGGTAAGAGTGCAGATACCTCCAGCTGTTCTTACCAGATATCAAACGTACCACATAACCCTTTCACTCTGTGGGTCTTTCTGAGTTCCCTTGAAAAGTATTCACACTCTCTTACTATATTCACACTCTCTTGCTGTACCTATTTAGCTTTTGATGGCTGGATAAGACTGTATCTGCCTACCTAGTCAACAGAGTATGTAAAGAGCAACTGCAATATTTGTATTCATTCTTGAACTTCTTTCTCAACTTTGTTCAGCTAAAATGAAACATCTGTAGCAGGTCATGTCTGTTAAACCTCTCTTATTGAATTAATTAATTAATTATTTTTTATTCCAGAACATTCTGGAGCTAAAAGTTTGTGATGAGGACAGTGTAACTCAGGATGACCATCTCCTCACTGTATTCTTTGATGTCTCCAAAATCCAGCTTGGGGAAAACATTCAGCTAAGTTTCCAGCTGAATCCACAGGTATGTATAAATTTCAAGGACAAAGAAAAGGGGGAGGAGTCAGGTGAGAATATGGTTATCTTGACTTTCCTCTACTATGTCCCATACAAGCCTTTCTCACTGTCCATACCTGAATATGTCCATCTCTTTCAGGGGTTCATACCTACAGATTTTTCTGTAATTATGGTAAATTTTGGATGCTGCTTCTGCAGAAAGAGCTGGCCCATGTAATTGGACTTAATTGTCTGTTTACTGTCCTTGATGTCAAAATATCAAGAGTTTATCCCAGTAGTTTTGCACTTGTAGCTGGTGGTTCTGAGCTCTGTGTTATGTTTTGCTAATACAAAAGTAATGATCTGCAGTCATAAACCTAACCCCAGTGTGGCTTTTAGCTTATTTAGAAAATGAACATAACACTTGCAGAGCTGAACTATTAAAAAAATTGTGCTTTTCATCAGATCTCAATTTCGTATGGTTGGGACAACTTCATACTAAAGTTTCAAGGGCAGTGTTTAGTCCTAGAAGTACTTGAGTGAGTGTTGATTTGATTTGATACCTGTTTTGGAAAGCTGGCTCTCCATGCCGTATATCCTTAGTGCTTACACTAGGGGGGCAAGAAGATGATGGAAATTGCGTGAAAACCTCTAATGAGAAAGAAAATTTCAGGGACAAGCAATTACAAAAGACAAAGATGAGCGCACAAGGAGTCTATGTGTACAAACTCCCCAAACCAAAGTGCACCCTCCAGAACACCCTGGGCTTCATAAAACCAAGTGTGCCACCATGTTAATGTGCCACCAGACCCATCTGCATGAGTGAGTTAGGGCTGGGAGAGGGTCAGAATGATTTGTTTGAACTGGAGAAATACACTTTCACTCATGCTAAGGATCACTGGGGAGTGTGAGAACCCAAGGGAGGAAAAAGAAAAGGGGAAATGTTAGTGGCCTGTGGAATAGTGCACGTGGGAGCTGGGAACTCGATACTGCCGCAAGGGGGAGCAGCTGCCAAGAGGCCCTGTTGTATGTTTTCTGTGTGTCCTCCAAAGGTCTAAACTAGGAGTTTGCTAAATTAATGGATATGATGCTAGATTATGTGATATTAGAAGTATGACAGATAAAACATCAATAACATTGTGGCATATGCAGTAACAAGAAGTGGACACTGGCTTATAGAGACCCCTGAAGAGAACAGATTCCTGCAGGGTATCTCTCCTCGCAGGAAAACCAACCTGCCGTGACTGCCTTCATTTTCTTTTGCAGGGAAAAGAGGAGCTGGAGGTTGAATTCACAATGGAGAGCAGGTGCGTGAGGTGAAATAGGCAACCAAATGTATGGTAGAGACATGATGATACTGATACAAAGCATAGTTTACGCATGCAGCCCCCTAACACCTTCACCATCTGAATAAAGCAGAGGGTAGATTTGAGTGTTCAGGAAATGTTTGTGTAGAGCATTTAATGGGGCAGGGATGCATGACTCTGCATGATGTGCATGCTTCTACACCGGGCATCCAGACATACAGGAAAGTGAGCGCAGGTGCTGATGGGGGCGTAGAGATGTCCCTGATGGCAATTGCTCACCAGGCTGCAAGAGGGGCATTCTTCACAGGAGGAAGTTTTAAGTTTAAAATCCTTCTTGCTCCTTACTTGTGGGATCCCAGATATTTGCTTTGTCATAAGATCATGGAAAAATGATGCTTGGAATTTGTTTTAGGAATAAATTTAAAAAATTTTTTTTTTTACTGTGTTTCTGTGCTGACTGTACAGTTAATGGAGAGAATGATGTAGATCAGTCCTAGTGCTGCTGTTGATTTTTAAGGTAAATGATAGTATTTTTCCTTTTTTTATGGCATGTTGGATGAATTCACCAGCTTTTTAGCTCTGATCCCACAGGTTCAAACTGAACTAAATGGGGCAATAGTGTAATTATGCCTGTAAATATTCCATCCTGGTGTAAATTTTCTTCAGTATGTCAGGAAACAATCCTGTCTGATACAGTGAGGAGCTCCTCTCTTCAGCAGTTGTCCATAAATTGTTTAAAGTTCAAACTCAAGCCTATGAGAGGCAAAAGAGATTGAATGTGCAGGTAGAATTTCTGATACTGTTTGTCCATGCTGCATGTACAAAGATGGACTTTTAAAGATAATGAAATAACCATTAAAAAAGAGATTAAAAAAAAAAAAGAAGAAAAAGAAGAGTGTGCTGGTTTTGAATTGGTTGTTTTCCATTTTGTCTTTCAGTCCAGATCCTCCTGAAAACATTGTTACTAATGGAGTTTTAGTGGTAATTTTTATTTCATAATCCTTTTCTCTGCTGTATAAGAATGTTTATTGCAAAGCTAGCATTAAAGGTACCAGGCAGTTGCTCCATATGGTGGCATGAAGGCATTGGCCAAGAGGCAAGATAAAGCTGGTGCTGGCACTGGCTTTCCCACGCGGTCCCAGCTAGTGACTCATGCTGGGAGAGGCTGAAGCTGCGAAAACTGTGAGCTGCTGCCAGTGCTTGTCTTTGCCTAAAATGAGCTGGACTCAGGTGTGTGACATCCCTCCATCTGCCCAGGGAGGGAGGGCTTGGCTGAGCATTGTTTGCAGAGCCTTGTCCTGTGGCCAGTCCTCCCCCAGGCCCTTGCAGGGCTGCTCCTCCAGGCAGGAGCAAGCATATCCTTTCTCTTTCCTCATATCTACATGATTTGTTATCTCCCATGTGGAAGCCTGATCCCATCTCCCTAGACCTGGTAGGGGGCTCTCTACAGCCCTTTACCTTTCCCCTGAGGTGCATGCCCTGAGACCTGTGGTCCAAGAGACTGGAGGAGGCAGAGTTCTACTGATAGCAAATGCCTTTATCTCTTGCCCTGGTTGTCTCTTACAGTCCCGTGAAGTTTCCTGTTTGGAGGTGCAGGTGAACGGTGGGAGGATGAGGAAGGACACTATGGGTGAGCCTTTCACTGACTTAATGAGCAAATCTGGTTGCCACTTTATGATAAAAGCACTCAGTGTTTTACACTTGAACATCCTGGTTTAAAATTATTTAAGGTGCAAGACAAAATCCCACTGATGCCAGTGGCCTGTGCAGGGGGTTTTAGTTGTTGAAAAATATGCAGATTATTCCAGAATGTGGTGTGATGAACATGTGGTCTAATTTCCCCACAAAATATTTTCCTCTGCAATATCATCTTGCCAGATGCTTACAATTTTCCAAAGTATTTGTTGAAGGAATTGAATTTTTTAGAGTCCTAAACTCAAGCTAACTCCTGTTGTTTCTGGATTCTAAGATAAAGGAAATGGACAGAATGAGGATTAGGCCTCTTTTACCATTTAACTTCATAAAATTTCTTTAGGTATAACAATAATAAACATGCCAATAGGTGAAACACAAGACTCACAGTATATTAGCAGAGACATTTGTTGCACACTTAAAGCAGTGTATAACTACCATGTCAAGTCCAGACTTGTGGAACTGTGTACCTCCTACGCAACTTTCCAAACATTCTGACAACTCCTGATGACCCCAATTCAGCACACTGCTTAAACTCCTGGATGATCCAGTTGTACTCAGCTGTCACAGTGAAAAAGTTTGGTAGATGTGACTGAAGATGCTTGAGTGCGATAATTCTTTTGAAGGCTAATTATATACTTTTGAGTGTGTGGATTTACAGAGTATATTTCACCTTGAACTTAGGCTGATATTCTATATAAAGACCATTTTTAATTACTTGAACAGACATATCTGAGGCTTACTGCATGAAGACAAAAAGCACCAGGCATAATTTTTGTAAGTGCTAGGAATATTGCAAAAGAAATGTTGGAGGTTGAAGGAAAGGGAAACATGATAGAGGGACTGAGATTTTACTGATTCTGGAGAGAGTTTTGCTCTGATACAAAAAACATGTTTTTTCCCCAAAGTCTAGAATTTTCAAAACATCTCAACAATAAGACAGTATGCAATACAAAACTATTTTTTTGGTATAATACTAAGGTATTTTGAAAATTTCAGAAGAGAGTGTGATTTTTCCCCTGAAACTGTTAACAGCTGTGAGTCCTTACCTAATGAGTAGAGCAGTAGTCTCAGCAATCAAATATATTTGTAAGTGCAGTAGTGCTAAAGCTATATGGTATGTTCTGCACACCGGTTCTAAAGCTGAAACCCTCAGATAAGTCAGTCTATTTATTTTTCCCTATTATTTGGGTGTCGAAATGAAGTAATTACTTAAGAAAAACATGTATTACGTTACCGCGCGAAGAAATTACCCCAATTTTTTGAAGAACTTAAGTTTGAAACACTTTTGCTTCAGAGAGGAAGTTTGCGCTAACAGTGGACGGGTCATATGAAGGAACCCAGACCCACACACTGAGCTCCTGTCTCTGCCCGACCTCCCCGGCCAGGTTCCACTACATCAAGTACCATCAGTCGGCGCTCACCGTGGCTCTACCGCGGCGGAGGCATCTCAGCAGGGTACGTAATTGCCACTAACACATAGCTGGCTCTTGGCTGTGTATCTCTCAGGGGACCACTATGATCTGTGTGCAGGGAATTGATAAGTGCATGTATGTAAATGAGACAGAGGGGACTGCTTTTACTTCCCCCCCCCCTTTTTTCTTGCATAATAGGTCACCGTGTTGTTTATTTTTTCTCTTATCCGTTTTTCTAGTCTACATCAAGTCAAAATGAAAGGGATATGAATGAGTCTGTGACTCTACCTCTGAACTCGCTTCCTATACAGGAGAAAATAACAATAGCAGAGGTGAGAACAAGTCTTTCTTAACACAAAGTGACCCAACACCATCAGTTTGATGGATGATTAGTCTTACAGTTCAGTGATTCATGAGGGATGAAGCATGCTACAGTGTAACGTGTGAATGACAGTCACTCTGCAATTGTGCAATATTTATTTTTTCTTTTGTTCTGCACGTGGTTCCAGTCATACCCTGTGTAATCTTGTTCTGAGTTTAAACTAACTTCCTCAGGACATGCCTAATTTGTATGTTCATCAGCATAGTATGTGAGCTAACAGTAATGGATATGACGAGTAAGACATACATTTACAAAGGGAATGCCTGAAGCAGAAGATCAAACAGAGAACATCTATATGTGTGTGGTTCAGATGTCTAGCTTTCAATGATCCTCCCAGAAAATGAAGGTTAAAATATGAGAAGCTGAGGAGCCCTAATGCCACTTAGCTTCTGTGAATGGCCCATTTCTACTCAACCCAGACAGTGCTGGAGCTTGTTAATGTCTCTCACCACCCTGACCATTGCTGGCCAGATTCTTCAGCTGTGTTGCATACTTCCAAGATAGGGAAACTCAGGCCCTAGATGGAGTGGGGGAGGAAGGCACAGGTTACACTGCTTACACTCTCTGTATTGTGATTTTCAGGACAGGACAATTGACTTGTACACAAAGGCAAATGAATGGTAAGTGAGTCTCCAGCAAGACCTGATCCGCTAACTAGGAGACATTTGCTCCTACACGCAGCTCATTTGAAATCAGCAGGGGTCTGTGCAAGTTCAGGTATAAGCAGATATGTGAGTTCATTATTGTAGGTGTTTATTTGCCAGGTTCTCCTTTTCACATTGATGGGGAATTAAATCATCATTCCCCTTTCCTCCAAATTTCCAAGCTGCTAGTGCATCTCAGTAATAGGTCTTGATTTGCGTGCACTGTTGTGCCCACAGATGGATAGAACAGCTTTGAAAAGAAATGATTTTTCTGAATTATACAAATGACTTCAAGGCATGGTAGCTGTTTCCCTATTCAGCTGTAGTGCCTGTTGACAGTGGTTGCCGAGTTATAGGCACGTATGGCAGCAACTATTAAAACTTGAAAAAATAATTATATGAGCAAATAAAACCAGAAGTGTGTTGTTCTTTCTTATTTATTACATTATACTGTCCACAATCTAGTCTGTAAACACACACAAGCACAGCTGGAGTTTTCCACAACAAGAATATTTTTGCCCTGGTCACAGGACTCAGGGTCTGTGTTTCAGGCCAAGAAACCTAGATGCCCGATTGGGGTTCGACCTCTGCACTGATGAACAGAATTTCCTGCAAAACCGGAAGAAGGTAGTTGCTGCTGCACTAAAGGATGTTCTTCATCTGGAGGAAGATCTGCAAGACCATGAGGTAACCAGGAAGGGTTCTGTTGGGGGATTTTTCTCTCTTCTTTCTCTCAGGCCAGAATGATCTCAACTGGAGAGTTCAGCTGTCTGTTTGGATGAGCAAAATTTCTGTTTCTAGTTGGCTTTCAACTGAATCATTTGAAGGAGCTTCAAACCAATAATTTTGGTCTATGTTTCGTAAAAATCCTTCCTGAAGTGCCAAGATCTAATATATACCACAGGGATGTCCTGCAACTTTATAGAGAAATATTGCTTTATCTCTAATGTGTGTGTTTTATTTTACTACTGTTACTTTTGCATTTCTGTAATCTTTTGACATTATTTGTTCCTTAATGCCACTTTTCCATCTATGCTTTCTCCTCTCTTCTGTCTTGAACAGGTGCCTATAGTGGCTGTGACCACAGCAGGATGTGGGATAAGAGCACTCACTGGCATGTATGGCAGCATTTTGGGCCTTCAGAAGTTGCGTGTTCTGGATTGTGTTTCATATATCAGTGGCTCATCTGGCACAACATGGTGAGGAGACATTTTGATACTGTTGCCTGGAGCTTGTTGTGTTAAGAAAAACCCGTGCTTTGCCTTGGTCTTGGGGTAAAGGTGGTGAATTCAGTTATTGCTTCCATCTTTGGGCTATGAATGCCAAGATCATCTACGAAAGGACTGTTGCGCATCATACATTTGGTGTATTGAAGTAACCTATCCCTAACCAAAAGAGTAGGCTTTATTGGAAGGGCAGACATCCTTAATCCTATGCAAAAATGGTGCTTTATGGTTATTTACTGTTGGACAGAAATAGCATAGACAGCTGACGTAGATGCTTGTGTTGGGTCACAGATCAAGTGATTTTTGACTAGGTGCCTTTAGACTTGCATTTCTGCTCAAAGTAAGCTCAAAGAGGAGAGTAATTAAAAGATAAAACAGTAAGCGCCCAAAGCTCTGCCAGGTGTATTCTCTGAGCTTCAAAAGGATCTTGTTCATTTCCCCCTGCTTTCCATCATGTTTCCTGCCTGCAGGACAATGACAAAGTTATATGAAGATGCTGATTGGTCACGTAAGGATCTTGGAGAAATAATAATTGAAGCACGGAAGCAAGCAGCCAAGTGCAAGATGGGGGCTTTTTGCTTGAAAAGTCTAAGAAATTATTACAGAGAGCTGAGCCAAAGGACCCAAGCAGGACATAAAACCTCTTTCATTGATCTGTGGGGGCTCATGATTGAATCCATGTTGAATGATGGGGTAATGTCTATACATCTTTCTTCTCATAAAGTTGTTGACTTAATATTTATGACCATTACAAGAAATTAAAGCCCTAGGAAGAGAACCTGGTCAATAACACTGTAGTAGGTATATAGGCAGAACACCACTTTTATTTACATTAATAATTTGGAGACAGAGATAATGTCTATACTGGAGCCTAAAGTGTGATCGAATGTAATGTAGAAATGCTCAGACTATCTCTAAAGTAACCAGCTAATTAACACTGTACCTGTCCAAGAAAATTTTAAGGTTCTTAGGTGCTTTTTATGACCCTATGTTTTTACACTAGCTGCACTCATAACTTGAATGTACTGCCGACGTACACCATATGTACAGAACTTTGTGATTTAGTGATAAGAAACTATATAGATCCAGACCTCCTGAGACTTCTTAGCTGCCAAAACTGTGATTTTGCAGGTGTCTTTCAGCCACTTTGAGTTTGATCTCTCCGGACCTCCAGTTTCTAATTTTGTTGTAATGATGCAAGCAAAACTTTCCATGTAAACTAGAAGCCTGGCAATAGCTGGAGAAAAAGCTATTTTATTTTTAAATCTTGTAAACACGGTTTATATTTAGTCTAGAGTAAACAGATAAAATAAAATAATCTAATTTCATATCATATTGCACATTGTATTTCAAACCTCAGTGCTGCATAGCAAAATTTTCTAGAATTTAATTTGGCTGCATTATACTCAAAATCTCCATGTGTAAGTTTCTAGTATTGAACAACTCTAGGATTTTTCCTCTGTGGATGCTAATTTTCAATATCTTTAAAGAATTGATAATTAGCTAACTCTTCAGTTTTTTTTTCCAAATCCAGAAAAGCCACCACAGACTTTCTGATCAACGTCAGGCAGTGAATCAAGGACAGAACCCTCTGCCCATCTACCTTGCCCTGAACGTCAAGGACAAAGTTGCCACCAAAGATTTTAGAGGTAATGTTTCAATTCTGAAAAAGAGCTATATTTTCAATCATGGAGATACACGGTGATGAATTGTTTTAAATTCTCATTCCAAGCCAGAGAAGTACTGTTCTGAAATGTAAAGAGTAACTGGGCAGCCACAGGATACACAGTGACAGTTCAGTATTTTGTAAGCTCTCTTGGCATGTGATTGTGTATATTCAGATATTAACTTCAGACATTAATAACACAACATAATTCTGTGACACAGTCTCAGGACTGCTAAGAATTCTTAAAGAAAGGGATTCACTGGAGCTTCTTGTTTGCTTAATGTATGTTCTTGTCCATGGCAGGAGGGTTGGAACAAGATGATCTTTAAGGTCCCTTCCAACCTAAGCATTCTGTGATGCTATGTTATTAATGATTGGGTAAAGGCAATAAAAACAAGAACAATCAATCTATGTTCTACTCTGCCTTTCATGAGAAACATTTGTACTCACTAGATAAAAGAAAGAAGAATTAAAATTTTCCTTTAGTCTGACGTTGCTCTTTCACAAACCCGTAGATAGTGAGATAGCTGGTTAAGTGGCTGTCAGGAGGGTTTACTCAGGACGTGTGCTAAGCCAGCTTACCCACGAGAGCCGACACCTGAAAGGTTTATTCCAAGACTGGCAACTGCGCTGTTTTTGGTAGTGGAGCTAACATTGTTGGTGCTTATGTTGGCAGAGTGGGTGGAGTTCACACCATACGAGGTGGGCTTCCTGAAGTATGGCGCCTTCATTCGTGCAGAGGATTTTGGCAGCGAGTTCTTCATGGGCCGCCTGATGAAGAAGCTCCCTGAGTCCCGGATCTGTTTCATGCAAGGTGACTCACATGCCTGGGGGAGTGGCAAGATTTTAATATAAACACAAGGGATTTGGGAAGTTAGTCCTCATAAATCCATTGTTATGCACGTGGATGCACAGGTACTATGTCAGTCAGCTGACAGACTCCTCAGGGAAATGGTCACAGCACCAAACCTGACAGAGTTCAAGATAAGTTTGGCCATTGTTAGCAGGAACTTAATTGTTTTTACCTCAACACTACTTGTTATGACTCTCCCACTTTCTAGGAATGTGGAGCAGTATCTTCTCAAAAAACCTCTTGGATGCCTGGCATGCAGCTGACAATTCAGAGGACTTCTGGCACAGGTGGACCCAAGACAAAGTGACTGAAATAGGTAAATCAAAGTACCCTCCTCTAGGCCCCTCCAATAGGGTAACTGCACTCACATTTCTCATTTTTTGCATTTTTCTGTCATCGTAGTGCTCTCAGTCTCCAGGTATGGGACACACCAGAAAAATCAAGTGATTTGATTTTACTGAATAGACAGTGCTTTGCTTGAGATTGTGATAAGAAGGAAAGGCACCATCAGACAGTGGAAAGGAAATAGGGATGGATACATAAGGTGGTCCCTGAAGTGTTGTGTTTAGAAGAAATACTTCTGTCAAAGCCTGGTGTCATCTGTTTTTTCGCCAGAGAGAAACCTGAGTGTTTCTGTTTCAACATCTGTTTGCCCTACACAGCACATCCCTCCCTCAAAATCTAAATATACCGAAAGACTTAGTAGAGGTCAAATGAAGTCAGTGTAGTGGAGCTCTGTTAGACCAGCTGAGAGACCATTTCTTGACAATACTCATGAGCATCTTCATGTTAAAATTCATGCATAGCCAGTGAACAAACCTAGGCCCCATTTCTGTGGACCATGTTTTCAGAAAATACCTCCAAACTCTTATGTTTGGATATATGTAAATAGTTTGCAATTTTCTGTTGAAATCAGCTGCCCACACTTGAATCAACTAGAACAAACTGTGTTTTTAAAAGTAAAAATATTCAGTTTGAAAGTAAAATGCTAAAAGTTTTCTATTCCTTTCAAAATAAGCTTTGAATTTCATATTTAACCTACATTAAATTTAAAAGCAGTAATACCCTTAAATGTATAATTATTTTTCCTGTTTGTTGTTTACTTGGAAAAGAGAATTACCTCAATGTGTACCAAAATTGTATTATTTTATGAGGAAAATGTTTCTCTAGTCATATGTGGCCAATCAGGATTTACAAAACACAAATAAGTTTGTATTTTTGTCAAGAAATTAACCAGAACTCACAGCAGATCACAGGGAAAAATACTGCAATGCCAAGAGATGGAAACACATGATTACTGTTGGTACAGCAGTCTCGTTCTCCTCTTTGTGTCCAGCCTCTTCTTGTTTGTGGTTATAATTCAGTTGCATGACATTTATGCTGTGTATCTCCAGAGGAACAACCAGACTTGCCCGAGAAGCCATATGAGATGGCCACGTGTGTTTTCACTCCTACAAGCGGCCTCTCCACAACTCTCCGGGATATCCTGACAGATCGCCCTGCTGTCTCCAAGTACCACAACTTCCTAAGGGGCCTCGAGATGCACAATGAGTATATCCAGCATGAACATTTCACAAAATGGAAAGGTGTGGACACCTCTCCTGCCTACATGTCTCAGCAGTCATCGTGGCAGGCGCAGGGGCTGGGAACTAGCGAGGGACATTTGTGTGTCCTGAAGAGAACTGAATGGGTTTTTTGGTTAGCTGTTAGTGTTTACTGAGAGGAGAGAGAACTAAATAACTTCTCACACCTTTCACTTTCAGTAATACAGCTGTTCAATTTTTGGGTTGTTTTGGTACTGGAAGTCCTCACTGGGATGAAAAATGCTAGGTTGGGGCTCTGCACGTAGGTAGCATCTGCCTAGGTTTTGGTGCAGTTCATGGGTTTAGAAACACTAAGAAAATGTGAGTGGAGAGGCTGAAGGAACTTTAGAATTGCTGCATGCTACCCTAAAGTAAAGGGAAGATTCTGGATGGGAGGAAAGCTCACCTTCCTTTTGCTTTCTAACTTGACAGATGTCAAGTTAGAAGTTTTGCTAACAGCTCTGAATCTTCTACTCTTTAGACACTTTGCTAGACAACTCTCCTAATGACCTGAGAGGCAACTCCGACCACCTGGAGCTGGTGGATGCAGCTTTCTTCTTTGAAACCAGTTACCCACCCCTTATGAGACCAGAGCGGAAAGTGGATGTCATCATACACTTAAATTACACAGGCGGATCACAGACATTGGTGAGAAGTCTCAAAGCTGTTTTTGCTTAGTAACAGCTTTTCCTTCGTTTTTCTCAACTTTTAGACAGGTGTCTATAAAATGTGGATTTTAGTGGAATATAGTAACATGCTCTTTGTAAATCTTAAAAGAGGAATGGAAATTTATAGAGAGGAAAATATCGCTATTTTTCCCAAACTACTTTTGAAATAACCCCTAAGTGCTTCACCAGTGAAATATAGAGCAGCACAGTGAAGTTATGAAGGTCAAGCTGCAACTTCTATTATAGTTATAAGTAAGATTTAATAACGCAAATATAGCTGGAAAAACTTAGTGATTTGGACACTGAATTTAATCTGTATTTTGCTTAAGCATGTAAAATTTTATTTATTTTTTTATATTGATGTGTGATTTTCTAGCTGTCCAGGAACAACCTAGTTAGTGAAGAATTTCTTCATCTTTATTTTTTCTCTTTTAACAAATACAGTTCTTCTCCCTAAATAGTGGACTTAAAACAAGATATCAAATGCATTTACTATGTTTGCAGGAATCTGATTTGGTTAAAATGGTCACGTAGATTTTGAAAGTGATATTCACCACTTAAATGGACAGATTTAGACTTCAAAATATAGACTTGTAATTGTAAACTGACCCTGAGGGACACCACTGAAAACACAAATTTCACTGGTTAAGGTTCTGTCATTTTTTCAAGTGAAAGAGACTTTAATGGTGCTCTTACACTGTGAAGCCACGTAAACAATACTTATCTCTGTACTGCAGCTGAAAAAAAATATATTGCACTGTATTTTTTCTTGTACTCAGAATTCTTTTGGAAATACATAATTCAAACTGAGGGGATACTTTTTTGCTAGATAATTTAACAAAGTTGGTCATCACAAATGAGCTTTCTGATGAATGTTTTTACTGCTGTATTTTGAGGTCTAAAATATGTAAGCTTGAAATCTCATGTTATTTCTGAAATTCAGGGTTATAGAAATGGGTAGGTTGATCTCAAAATCCTGCTTAAGTCTACTGAGGTCAGTGGAAAAGTTCTACTGCTGTATAAACAGGTAATGTGACTGTGAATCTGCGAATTTAGTTAAGGCTATTTCCAAATAGGTCCTCAGGTAACAGAAGAGCAGTCCCTGGGGCTGCAGGTGCTCACATTATTGCTGGTTGTCCAGTGCTCTCAATCTGTTTTGTGCAGTTGGGCATGAATTACTGGGCTTTGACAGCAGTCTGATCTTGGGTATCTTTTCTGTTCCTTATGCTGCTGCTGTTGGGCCATGATCAGCCCCTGGAGCAGGCTTGCACATACTTCGCAGAGCAGGGAATTCCATTTCCCTGCATTGGACTGAAGGATGATGAGAAGAACCTGAAAGAGTGCTACATGTTTGATGGTGCAGACACCCCAGGAGCTCCTCTGCTGCTTTATTTTCCATTAGTGAATGATACCTTTCAAAGATATGTAGCACCTGGTAAGTTAACAGTACCCAAATAATTTTTATGACTCAGTGAGCTTTCTCACTCCTGGGTGTTTTTTCCTCATCCCAATACAAAAATCCTTTGTTTGCTTGTTCCTAGCAGCGATTATACTGCAAAATGAGATGATTCAAACTGTTTGCAGAATCTGGGGAAATCTTGTGCATAATTTTAGTTTGACTCTTGGTGTAACTCAGTGAAAGAAGAAATGTGTTCCTCAGTTAGAGGAATGGAAACTACTTTTTCCTTGTAATTTCCAAATGTTTACTTTAATGTGTAGAACAAAGCATCTTTTTCAGATTATTTATGTTAATGACAGTCAGATCTAGGGGAGAATCACAGTATAGAAGTATTTGAGACTTTGCTTTTATGATGATTTCCAAGACTACTAATATTCTGCTTTCTGCTGTCCTGTATATCTCTTTATTCCTTTTAGTTTGTATTGTGCTCAAGAACATGCAGGTAAGACTTGAGCACTAGTGACCACATAAAATGATGTGCCATGAGCTGGCCAGTAGAAGGTGGTGATTGCAGTGGAATGACGTTTAGTGACACCACTGTTTGTGTTTTTTCATTCCAATAGGATTTGTTCAAAAGTAGATTTTTTAGAGATCATAGCACTGTATTTATCATCATAGTAATTGCACCTGTGATCTCTCCTCGTTATTCTCGATGTATTCTATCAGAGTATGGTATTTCTGTGGGACTATACAAACACATTCCTTTTTTCCCTTGACAGGCATGGCACGTACTGCTTCTGAAATGGAACAGGGCAAGATTGATATCTCCAGTTTCTCTTCTCCATACTCAACCAGAGAGGTCTCACTGAAAGCGGAAGATTTCAACAAGCTCCTGAAGCTGACTAATTACAACATCATGAATAATGAGAACATGATTCTTCAGGCCTTGCGCATGGCTGTGGCACGGAAGAAACAAGCCCTTAGCCAGCCAGTATCACAAGAGCAACCATCTACTTGAACAGCATTTTCCTTTCCCTTACTGAATATTTACCATGACAGTACATGTAATAGCAACTTCACTGTTCTTGACAGGGGCCATCTTCTTCTAAGTAAACTTCTCAAAAATGAAAACTTGAAGTGTTTGTTTCCATGCCATGTAGTTTAATTTACTAAGCAGTACCTGCTTTCTGATCCAGAGCTGTGGTATCAAATACAGCACTCTGTGTTGTTAACCCCGTCTCACTGTGATGTTCAAGAGGCAGAAATCCAGCTGTGTGATAGGGAAATAGCTTAGCATTCTCTATTGTCAACCTCCTATTGTCTTGGTGGCTAGTTGCTAATATTTTTTCATATGCAAAATATTCTGGCACTTCATTGGGACTATTGGTAGTAAATCCATAAAGCCCTCTTTAGACACAGAAGGTGGTGACCATGAAGTATCAATTGAAATAACTTTACTTGATTTTAATAACTTGAATTAAATGACCTTCTGCCTTTAAAGAATTTTGTTTTCCAGGTGCTTTTTGTCATGAACTGTTGTGAAATAAATATTTTATTTGATTTTTTCAAGTTTGTGTTAGATAATGGAGGTACACATCCATGGCCGTTTAGGTCTTTGATGACATCTGTTCTTATCAGTTAAATCAAACTTACAGATTTGTCTTGAAGGACCATTGCCATTTCCGCTCACAATCAAATGTGTTCTGTCCCAGATCACATGTGTGTTCTGCAGTTATCTCCTCGAAATCCAGTTTTGATTCAGCGTCATCTGGAGCTTGTTCAATATAGTGAATTGAACTATTATCAAAAGAGATAGTATGTAAAAGGGGTTGCAGGGTGTATGGTAATTACACAAGGAGAACCATACTGGAGAAATGCAGTAAGACACCAATATTCTGTTTGCTTCATCCCAGTGCATCACACAAACACACTAAAGGCCAAGAAAGCATGGCAGAGAGAGATGTGTAGCTTCTGTTTTTAGTGTGAATTCTTCCTTGGAGGTAATTCAAGAAAGAGAGGTGTTCTTTTCTGGAACTGGAGCTGGTTAAAAAGTTGGTTTTTGCTGTCTTTTTGGTAATAGTCCTACAGAACCATTGTGAAACAAAGGCAGATTCTGGCATCTGAGAGTTTGTCAAAGGTCAGCCAAGATGAGACTTAAAAGAGTCCCTAAACTCTTTTTAGAGCTTGGCCTAAAATTAGTAGGCAAGAGCTACAGAAGTCTCTTCTCTCCACAAATTTTTCAATAAGGTACATAGACAATTTCAACCTTATCTTCTAAAATTCCATTCATTGTTTTATCTGAGCTGCCACTCGTGAGCTCAAAATAAGGTACATCAATTGTCAAAATGGGCATCAGGACTGACTCCTTAACGCTTGCCATAGAGGGTATCGTCATATTTACCAAAGTTCTCCTGTTATTGCAAAGATTTAGGTATTCCATCCACTTTTCCAAGTCCTCAGGTTCCCTGAGGTACTCTGGTGCAATTTCACTTTGAGCTGTTTTTCCCTGTTGGGGATATTTTTGTCAGGATTAGATACTCTGCTTGACTTTGCCTGTGGACTGTTTGATAGTAAATGGTAAGCACCTGATCCTCCCTGGTTTTACCAGCCTCAGACTGGTCAGAAAACATGTATATTGAGGCAATGAAAACAGTTCTCTGAGGATTCCTTGAACAGCCTGTTCTACCTTCTCAGAGTTTGTGATGCACCCTAAAAGCTCAGATAATTTGAACTAAACCAGAAACCAAATCTTCTCAGAGGCTGATGTGGTGTTTCATATGTTCACGCTAGATGTTTTGTCCCAAGTCCTGTTCTGGCACTACTAGTAGATTCTCTTCAAGCAGAGGCACTTGACAGCCAGTGTCTGGGATGGGCTTCCTCCAGCTCCATGCTCCCTCCAGCACATACTCTGGAGGAAACCCCTTGGGTAGGAGAGGTGACAGAGACCTAGAGATTGGTCCTCCATTTTCTTTCATTGAGTTATCCCAGAAGTGGTTGTTTCTCACATGATTTCGGGTGATACAGTCAATCCCTTCCTCAACTGAACACTCCTGTATTCAGTTTGCATGGCCAGGTTTTGGTAACAGTGGGGCTACAGGGTCGACATCTTTGAGTAGCAGCCAGAAGCTTCCCCCATGTCTGACAGAGCTCATGCCATCTGGCTCCAAGGTTGACTCATTGCTGGCCAAAGCTGAGCCCATCAGTGACAGTTGTAGTGCCTCTGGGATAAGGTTTTTAAGAAGGCAGGAAAAATGCTGCGCAGCATCAATTGCAGTCGGAAAGAGGAGTGAGAAACGTGAGAAACAGCCCGGCAGATACGAAGGTTAGTGAAGAAGGAGTGGGAGGACGTACTCCAGGCTTCAGAGCTGAGGTTCACCTCATATCTGTGCTGGACAGTTGTTAGCTATTGAACCAGTTGTTAAATGACCTTGGAGAGTCAGGCTGTCCCCCTCCGGCCCATGGAGGTCAATGGTGGAGCAGATGTTTATCTGCAAGCCCTGGGGAACCCCATGCTGGAGCAGGTGGATGCCTGAAAGAGGCTGTGATGCTGTGGGAAGCCTGTTGTAGAGCAGGTCCTGGAAGGACCTGTAGACCCATGGAGGGAGGAGCCTACACTGGAGCAGGTTTGCTGGCAGGGACCTATGCTGGAGCAGTCTGTTTCTGAAGGTCTGCACCCCATAGAAGGGACCCACACTGGAGCAGTTTGCAAAGAACTGCAGCCTGTGAGAAGGAATTTATTTGGAGAAGTTCATAGAGGGCTATCTCGCATGGGAGAGGTCCCGCACTGAAGAAGGGGAACAGTGTGAGGAGTCCTTCCACTGAGGATGAAGGAGCTGCAGAGATCATGACGTAACTACAGCCCTCATTTCCTGTCCCCATGAACTGCTGGGGTGGAGGAGGTAGAGAAAATCAGGAGTAAACATGGGAAGAAGAGAGGGGTGGGGGAGAGGTATTTTATGATTTAAGTTTTATTTCTCATTATCCTAGATTGGTAAGAAATCAAACTAATTTCCTCAGGTTGGGTCTGTTTTGCACATGATGGTAATTGGTGAATGATCTCTCCATGCCTTTAATGTCAACCTGTGAGCCTTGCATCAAGTTTTCATTGTTTTGTCTTCCTTGTCCAGCTGAAAAGGGGGTGTGATAGAAATCTGTTGGTGCGCACCACAACTTCTCAGTGTTGTTTATTAGAATTGTTGGGTTTTGTTCTGGTTTTGTTTGTGGGAGTTTTTTGTTTGCATTTGTGTGCTTTTTTTTGGTGGTGGTGCAGTTTTGTGAGTGTGTTTTGTTGGATTTTTTTTTTTGGGGGGGGGGCACTTGTTTGGGGTTTTTTGTTTTTTACCTAGGGGGAAAACATCATGTTCCACAGTCTCGGTGCTACCACAGCCCTTCATCCCCGAGTCAGACTTTCCCAGAGGAATGGCTCAGGAAACATCAGTTCAGCTGCTGCAGAACAGACTAATAAAACAAGTGCTCTTGCCCTCTCATCATCTTTGTGGACATCCTATGGACTCACTCCAACAGGTCCACATCTTTCCAGTGTTGGGGCCTCAGAGTTGGATGTGCTCCAGGTAGGGTCTCACAAGAGTATAGTAGAGGAGGGGAATCCCCTCTCTCAGTCTGCCGGCCACACTTCTTTTGAAGCTTTGACAGCTCTTTAATTGAAAGGTATTGAGGTTAGATTTCTAATCCTAAAATAGTTGATAACTAAAGTAATTTTCATTCAATGTAAAGTTGTTAGCCCAGAAACTTCTCTCTTTATTTTGTCTTTTCCTGATGTCTGTGTGTGTGGAAGGGAAAGACAAGTTGAGGGTACTGTGAGTATACAGTATCACCTCCTGCAGTTCTAAAGTGATAGTTTAATTTCAGACATCTGGGCGGGTTAGTAGCTGGACCTTTGCAAGGGCTATTCATCTGCCTATCTGCATAGGTCTCTGCTAGAACTATGAGGAGTTTCATGTCATTTTTGTGTCATAATTGGATGACACTGCCTTGTATTTAAAATATCAAGGTGTTAATATTTAAGATGAATCGATATATGCCTTAATTTGCAGATGAATCTGTGGGGTTTTGTCTTGGTTTCTCAGAAGTTTTGTAATTGTGGAAACCTTCTGAAAGGAAAATATATATCCCACTGACAAAAATATATATTAGATTAAATTGGGGAAACATTTACCAGCAAACAACTCAAGCCCGTCTACCTCTAAAAAAAGGAAAATAAATAAAATTTTTTTGAACAAAAAGGTCTTATAACATTATTTCATCCATGGTATTTTTGTTTGCTGACTGGGGTGCTGTAGAACTGGTTTCCTCCAGCCTACATATAGCTACTATTATCTTCTCTGGTCCATTCATTGCTTAGGCTGCCAAGTCATAGGTATCTGTGCATAAGTTATGTGTCATTACTCCCTTATCTTGAACTGCTGATAACTCTTGGTACCTCGGTGTGTACAGCCTTCCCCAAACACACACCTCTGGTATTTGGCTATCAAATAAACTCAGCAAATTCCCTCCCCTTCTCTCTTCATACTTTCCCTTTCAGGCAATGAGGAAGGCGGAGCATGGATGAAACGCTGCTCCCCAGGTGCCTCCTTAAAGGTTGCAGAGGTACTTCATGAATCATTGCCAGCTGTTGCCTCTAACAGTGAAGTGATATCTGTATCTGACTTTTATGCAGCTGGGAGCAGGATGGGCTCATACTGGAGTGCTTGTGAGGTAAGAACACAAAAGCTCTTGAGAACTGAACACGGCCTGAGGTGGGTGTGGCTGGGATTGTGGCACCTACAAGAGGATTTGTGAGCTTTTAGTCCAGTTACTGGTGAGCTTTTAGTCCAATTTCATGTATGTATTTACCTATTTATATCAGGGTGACTGATACCTTTGCTGATATCGGCTGTCCTGTGGAGTCACTTTTGGTAGTGAAGTTCTGCCATAGTGTGTCATTCACGTGGAGGCAGGAAAGCAGTCTGAGGTGCTTCACAGGAGCCTATGGTACATTTGGGCTGAATCTGTGGTTTGATTCAAGCTTTAGGCAAGTTGGGCTCTTTCACAGTGCAGCATCTGTCAGCTATGAGTATAAACACATGTGGTGTCCAGGTAACTGTGCTAACAGCCACCTGATTGTGATGTACACAGGAAGGTTACTGCCTAAAACCAGTGATTAATCATGGACACAGAGACGATCCTAGTTTGATATTTGTGCGTGACTGACATACGAAAAAAATCTTGATCTGTTTTTTCAATAATGTCTGAGAAGGGTTTTTTTTGGGGGGGGGAGGGAGGGGTAGGGGTTTTTAGATTTTTTTTTTTTTGTATGTTTCTTTTTGTGTGGGTTTGGGGTGGTTTTTTTGTGTGTGTTTGGTTGGGTTTTTTTGTTTGTTTGCTTTTTTGGGGGTTTTGTTTTGGTTTTGTGTGGGTTTGGCTTTTTTGTGTGTGTGTGATTTTTTTTGTTTGTTTGTTTTGTTTTTTGGTTTTTTTTTGGTGGAACATAACCAGGAGGGAAAGCTCTAAAATGGTTCATTGGGTTCCAGTGAGTGAGCATACTCTGTTCCCTTCTCAGCTCTGAAATTAAAATTAGCCTCTGGTTTGCCTATGAGCAAGTTATTTAATCATGCTGTGACCCCTGGTTGTAAAAGGGAGTTTATAGAGTTTCTCTCCATAACATGGAGGTATGTTAACAGAAATGTGCACTGATGCTTGGAGACCTCAAATGTGGGATCCCTTTGGCTGAAGAAATAACATGTATGAATGTCTAACCAAACCGGTTAAAGAAACACTAAAGATTTACAAGTTTATCCTTTAGAACAGAGCCTGTCTTTTCAGGGGAAGTACGCATAGAAAACAAGGAAGGACACTGACTTCTCTTTTCTTTCCGTTGCCCTTAATGACTGAAACAGCATCATGAGAGAGAATAAAAATAAAGGGTCTTTGGTGAGGGAAGGGACAGGAGATTTATTTCATCCAGAACCTGAATGTAGATAGAAGACATTAAAACATGCCCTTCTGTTTTGGAGTTAGATGTAAAATACAGACCAAGGTCAGCTTCAAGAATGATAGGAGTGTTTGTATCCAGCTTCTCAGCTGGATCAATTCCTAACTGGAAAAAGGAGTGACACAATGCCCCTAAAGGGGTTTAAAGGAATCATTTTGCTAGCAGTGAATTGAAGAAGGATTAAGTAATACTTCCAGTGAAGCAACAACTAAAATTTCAGGTATTGAAATCTGCAAGAATTAATAATTTGTTTGAGTCATGTCTAGTTGTTTGTCCTTCCTTCTGTGCTTGATGTTTCAGCTAGTGATAGTTATTGCAAATATCTTTCACCTGGTTTGGGCAGGGAAGTTTCCATAGCACCTCTTCCAAAGCTGCTTTCATTAGCTTCTTTTTCATGTAAGTTCTGCTGTGTTTGTGCTGGTGGTGCCTCACTCATTTAAGTAGTACCATTTTCTTCTGGGGTCATGATGCTTATGAACATAGATAAGACATTGAAATCAGCAGCATTGTGATTAAATGTTTTACCACAGATTGTTTCTGTTTGTATCTCTTGTTGTCCTCTTCCTGGTCGCAAAAGCTGAACTCCTCACAACCTTTAATGTATTTTCTCTTCACCATTTCTGGGAAATATTCCTGATAAAGATTTTAAATGGAAACTTGGAATTTTTACTAAATAAAATTATCTGAAGAAAGTATATTTTCCAGGTAAAATTACAACTGTGTAAGGTAATTAAATTTATTTTATCTTTATCTACAAATGTTTGATGGATGTGCTTCTCATGCACACTAACTCTTTGCTGACTTATTTCTCCAGATTAATTGTTGATAAAGATTTCTTTTAAATGAACATTTTCTGTTATGTAAGCCAAACATTTATTTAAAACCATTTCACTATGTTATCCATTTTACTCTCATTTCTTCTATCAATTACATATATTTACACAGATGAATATTTCCTAATTTTTTTCCATTTTTTTTTAACTCTACATAGACATGATTTTAATGTCCAAAGCAATGCAAACAGTTTTTCTTCCAGCTTTGCTATGTGGCTTTAAAAATTGCAAAAGGCACTTATGGGCGGGCATATTATATGAAGCATAAGCAGTTTAATATTAATGCAGGTATTAACTTTGTCACTTTTCTGCAGAGTGATGAATGCCCATGCAGTTCATTCTTTGTGAAAATCGTAAGAATGAAAAATCTGAGAAAAGCAGATCTGCGTGAGTATTACAATCTTTCTTTGCAGTTGCCAGTAGTTCAGTTCTGAAAGCAGAGAACATAAGCAAGCACTGTAACTGGTATCTGTGTATGAAGGGACACCATGGTTTCAAATATTGATGCATAATTGAATGTGGACTATGCCTAGAATACAGTTTTGTATAAACAATATCTGTTGGTTTATAGAATGCTACCATTAGTGGATAGCAAAGGTGTACTGTGAAGTACCTTAACTACCAACAAGGTTCAGAGCAAGTTTTGATGAACAAATTCAAGTGTTAATTTCAGTTGCAGTTTTTTAATTTTATTTTACTTTTTTAAAAATAAGGTAAAATGAGCATTATATAGCCTATTGTCAAACAATTTTTTTTTGTCAAAACTTTACTGGAATGTATTTGAAGTAGACTTTTCAGGATAAATAAGTGCCATGAAAATGTTTCTGAAGACTTGGTGGAATGGGTGAAAGTGGAAGAGAGGAGAAAAATCTTAGCAGTTACTCAGGAGAAAGTGAGCTGAAGATTAACCCAAATATCGGCCTCAGAAGGGAAGGACAAGACAGGAACACAACAGAAAGGAAGTGAATATGAACCTTTGCATATTAAATAATACCAGCTGAACACATCAAGGATATTTATCTCCGTGGAGATTACTATTCATTTCTTGCTTTCCTGCCATTGAGCCTAGCACAGGGATATTGCCTTTTCTTGAAAACAGCACATCTTCAGAGAAAAGTGAAAGGACAGTTCAATTTCCGCTCTTTCTTTTTAATCTCAGATGAACTGTTTTCTGACATAAATGATAACAAGGGAATGTCTAAGTTGCCCTGACAGCCAATAGCATCAAGATAACCACCTGCAGAGCTGATAACCAACTATCTGCCTCTGGACTTAAAATTATGGAGAGTTATCTCTTTCTCAGCATTTTATAGTGGTTGGAAATTATGCTCTTCACATTCTTAAGGAAAAAAGATCTTTCAGAAATCCATAACTATTTATCTTAGCTCTTTATCTTTTATTAGTCTTTATCCCATATCTTCATTTTGAGCAGAGACTTGTTTACCTAGTTTCAGGTTTGAAGCTCTATCACTGGAGATTTGCTTCCAAAGCCAGATGGAAAGGAAGATCTTTGGTATCAAGAGCCAGAAGAAGCAGTGCTAGGTGACAGGGTCTGTGAGGATCTGCTTCATCCATTCCCCATCCCAGTTGCCTTTCTTTATTGTGCAACAGAGCACCACATTTTATTTTTCTCTGAGAATCAGGAGCAAATTACCTGTGTCACAGCAGAGTCAGTGAGTTTTTATCTACACTGTACCTGTATGGTCTCTTGGAGCACTTAATTTTTTAGTGGAGTCATTCCACATGGTGCGATACACAGCAAAAGAAATGCGACTCTGTTAAAAAGCATTATATTGAATGAGAAAACCACTGTGAGAGCATAGTAGAATTCTTATGTGGCAGTGCCTTTATTCTTGATATAAAAATTTTACAGCGAGTTTCAACACCTGAACTATGAGAGAAGTCCTCAGAGGAAGAGATACAAAGGCATCTGTTAAAAAAAATGTCATGGAAGAGAGAGGTATTGACATGTACAGCAAAGCTCACTTTGTAGTCTGTACAAAATTCAGAGTGGTTTAGGCTGAAGTGCATTTATGGGCAGCATGACAAGTGGAGACTGAAAGGATAGTGAGGAATTCTAAACTATGCATTTCATTACACATGAATAGTTACTTGAATGTAGCAACAATAATTTAAGAAGAAAGCAGAGATAACTAGTTAGGCCTACTTGTCTTTGTTTCTGCAGAGAAATAGCAGTTTATCTGCAGATATTTAGTTTCCCAGGATTAGTCTTTGCTCAGTAGTGACTTTTTAAAAATATTTTTGTGGGAATGTATTTGTCATGTAATTAATGCATTTGTTAAAATATTTGCAAATATTTAAAATATATTTGGCTCAAAATATTTTGGGAAAAAATATATTTCCCACTCACATTTATTTGTTTTAATCACTATTTCTGTACAATTTTAGTTGTTAAGAGAGACAGAGATGACAACAGAGAGTCGAAAGATGGCCCAGAAATAATTCCAGTTGCAAAGAGCCATTGGTGCTTTGTTAGAGTCAGAGTCTGATTAGAGCAAGCTGTTTTTTGGAAGACTGCCTGTCAAAGATGAGTATGCTTTGCTTGTCTTTAGCTGTGGCATTGGACAGGCAGTGTGTCTTCCTTGTGCAGAGCACTGCTACCCACAGCCCACAACATCCAAGTAACATAGGACTTGTTTTTTTTTTATTACAGGTTAGGTGTGCCAATCATCCATAGCCATGATCTCTTGACCTTTTCTCTTTGTGTCAGACAAAAAGCTGTATTTGTACATGGTGTAAGAAAAAGTATTAGGCTGCTAATATGAGTTTAAGTCTGTTAGGAATAAGGCTTACTTATGAACCAGAAGGATTTGCTCCCACATTATATAGGCTATCAGGTAACTACAATCTGAGTAGTACATATCATTCCTGAGACACAGCTGTTGCAATTTCTAAGAATGTTTGAGTTTGACTAAATTGTTCTTGTGAAAATTTGTAAGAATAGTGATACCAGATCAGTCCAAAGTTTCATCTGGATCAACAGTATGTCCCCAGAACTGGCTTATAATAAATGCTTTTGGGTAGGATGAATGCTGAATCATGCTTTTAGCTGGCCCACTTTCCCAAGCTATTTGTGGTTCGTGAGGTCTGTGGCTAGAGATCTGGCTCTTGAGTTAAAAGTAGTGTTTGCATTTAATTGTCATACCCCAAATTATTGACTCCCAGAGGCCACTAAGAGGTCTTACTTTGATACCTTTCATCTCCCTTTCTACTGGACAGGAACCTAGATACTCTTTTTTCAGTGTTGCAGGAAAACACCGTGCCCAGTTTCAGGATGTTATTGTTTGAGGAGGTCTATATAATTATGTTGCTAATTAGATTGTTACAGACATTTCTTTTTTTCTCTTCTTTCCTTGCATGGGCAGCAGAAATGCCTACTTGAGAAAAACTGATCCTTTTCAGGCTGGGGTGAAAAGCCCTTTTTTGCATATTAGATAGGTCAGCTCTTACACCAAGGCAACTTACCCTTTGTATTTATTCCAAATATAGCAGAATACTTAACAGTTATATTACTGCCTCTGTCTCTGGCTTTAAAAGTGAGAAAGTTTAATGGTGGTCACAAATCTTCATAAATGCACCCACTATTTCTTCAAAATCGGCTGAAGGAAGCTATTTTACTGCAACTTTTCAACAGGGCTGGTTTGAGGCAGCAGCAACACTGGGAGCCAGTGGCAGCATCAGCTGTAAACGTCACAAGCGGAGGTGCCTGGGCTCTTGATATTCCTACACCCCCATTGCAGTGCACAGGGGCACCAGAAAAGCTGTGCTGGATCAGTCCAAGGTCTCTCTTGCCATGTGTTTGAGGGCGGTGAAAGACAGGTGCCTGGGGCACTTGAGAGGGAAGGGAATGTGTAGAGTGCACTCTGTATAGTGTGTTCCCACAGCCTTTGATCACTTCAGAGTTAGTAACTTCCCAGGCGAAATACAGTTTTTCTGTGTGAACGCAGCAACCCCTCTAGTCAGCTCTTGAACCTACACAGACTCTATGCATTGACAACGATCTTTGCCCAGCCTCTGGTTTCCACCTCACAAAAACCTTTGCTGCAATTCAAAGCCTCACCCGTGTAGTGGCAAAAATCAGTTTTGCCTTCACTGCTGAAAAGCCATGAATTTGTTCTGCCATCCAGTGACTTCCCATGTCAGCTGATGTAGTTGGAGATTGACTTTCAGAAGGTTTCCCATATGTAGGAACCGACTGGTTGTTGCAAAACTTTTGTTTTCCAAATGCTTGTCCATCGGACAAGATCACCAGAAGAGGGCATAGCTTTCATTTTCAAGTCCCCCCTCCCAATTTCTTCTAGCCAGCTTTATGCAGGGCTCTACATTTCCACCGTTTACCCATGTCACAGTTACTTTCTGGAGAGACTTCTCAGGTAGTCAAGTACCACTCCATTTCACCCCGTGTGGTGCTTATAACGAGAACTAGACCCTAACCCTAACCCCAGCTGAGCTGTGTAAATTCCCCAGAGTGGATCTTGTTTTCAGTGTGGCTGTCCAGACCTGCCTTGTGCACAGTCCCATTGGAGCACACCCGGCACTCACTGGTCTCAGAGATTGCCACTGCAGTCACAGCAGGGCATGGGCGATCTCGCACAGCTGGCAAATCTGGTTTTTCATGGCCCTTTTCTTGGTGGCAGTGTTCACTGCTCTTCCAGGAGGGAAAATAAATAACTTCTACACCGCAAACTGATACATATGGGAGAGTAGCCTGTCTTTTTCATGGGCTACAAATAAAATATAACATTAACCCCTTCTACATACATGTATTTCACAGAAATATTCCATTTAGGAGACAAAAAATGTCTTTATAAATAGTGACTTGTCCTACTTGGTATTTAGCAAAGTCCAAGACGGCAAAAAGCTTTTCGTGGAATGACCTACAGTTACTTTTACTGGTTTGTTGTTGACTTTTTTTCTCTTTAATATGACAAGCTAATCTCAATCAGCATTCTCATTAGAAAAAGCCTTAGGCTTCTCTTTAGCTCTAGTATTAAATCTGGGCCTGTTGCAATGTCATTTAATAACATACTTCCAATGCTATACTGCCTATTGCTTTTAAAAGTTGGAAGGCAGTATTATCAGTGTTTTTCTTTATATCACCTAAATTGTGTGTAACACCATCATAATAACAAAATCCCTTTCGGTGCCATGCTCTCCAAAGGAAACTATTGTGTGAGGCAAGGATTGATTGAAGACATGCTCACAATGTACTGGGTATACTTTATCTCTGACTGTAGCACTGATGTGAGTGGGCAGCAGCAGTCTTTTTGCAAAGAGGGCAGTCGTGGGTAGTGCCAACAGGCAGATGCCTGGGCTGCCTGTTCTAATGGCATGCTTGCTTTAGAGTGAAATTTCTTTCCATGGTC